TATTCCCAGCTCTTGGGAGGCAGAGGCAGGAGGATCTCTGTGCACTCAAAGCCAGCCTGGTCTACATAGTGAGTTCTAGGACAGTCAGGGCTATGTAAAGATAACTTGTTTCAAAACACAAAAGAAAACAACTTTAAAAAGATGGAGCATGTGGGGGAGGGCTGGAGAGATGGCTCAGAGGTTAAGAGCATCACCTGCTCTTCCAAAGGTCCTGAGTTCAATTCCCAGCAACCACATGGTGGCTCACAGCCATCTGTAATGAGGTCTGGTGCCCTCTTCTGGCCTGCAGGAATACACGCAGACAGAATATTGTATACATAATAAATAATTAAATATTTATATATATTAAAAAAGATGGAGCATAGGTAATGAAATGGTTCAGCCTGATGACCCACGTTCAATTCCTGGGACCCATGTCCTGCAAGGAGAGAAATAATTCCCAAAGTTGTCCTGTGACCTCAACATGCATGTTATAGTACATGCATGCATACACACACACACAGACACACACACATGCACTCAGTCCCTCACACGTAAACATACACACATCTATAAGTATAAAACCAAAAATTTCAAAGCGTCAGGCGACAAGGTAGCTCAGGGGGTAAAAGCACTTGCTACACAAGCCAGCCTGACCACCTGAGTTTGGAACCTGGAATTCATGGAGGAAGAAGAGACCCAGCCCCTAGAAGTTGTCATCTGACCTCCACATATATGTGACGGCACATATGTAGGATACACACACACACAGTACTAATCATGTTTTTAAGATCCAAGGGGCTGGAGAGATTGCTCAGTGATTAGGGTCATATGTTGCTCTTCTAGAGGTCACCAAGGTCTGTTCCGAGCACAAACCATCCTGCCCCCAGGGTGCCTTACAACTGCTGTAACTCCAGCTCCAGGGGGATCCGCTGTCTCCTGCAGGCACCTGCACACATGTTCACACCTGCACCCACCCACACGAGCACACACACACACACATACACTTTCTAGGTTTTTTTTTTTTTTTTTTTTGTTTTTCGAGACAGGGTTTCTCTGTGGTTTTGGAGCCTGTCCTGGAACTAGCTCTTGTAGACCAGGCTGGTCTCGAACTCACAGAGATCCGCCTGCTTCTGCCTCCCGAGTGCTGGGATTAAAGGCGTGCACCACCACCACCCAGCCTTGTTTTGTTTTTCAAGACAGGGTTTCTCTGTGTAGCCCTGGCTGTCCTGGAACTCTTTCTGTAGACACAACTGGCCTCGAACTCAGAACTCCCAAGATTAAAGGTGTGTGCCACCACTGCCTGGCCTTAAAACATTTTTTTAGGGCTGGAGAGATGGCTCAGTGGTTAAGAGCATTGCCTGTTCTTCCAAAGGTCTTGAGTTCAATTCCCGGCAACCACATGGTGGCTCACAACCATCTGTAGTGAGATCTGGTGTCCTCTTCTGGCCTGCAGACATACACACAGACAGAATATTGTATACATAATAAATAAATATTTTTAAAAAACATTTTTTTAATCTTAGGAAACATTCAAGCCCTTCCGCACCCCAGTCTCAGAGCTCTACCTCCAATTCCTGAGCTCTCTGGTCACTCAGATGAGCCCTTGCAGGGCCCAGGCTCTACTCACGGGACAGAGGTTATGTTCCCAAAGTGGGATGGAAGGCTGAGAGGGATGGAGCCTTCACGTGAGGTAATGAGGGAAAAGGGTTGAGGTTGGTTGTCAGCTACCCTTGAAGAAAGGCCTAAGAAGTGCAGTGGTTTGGAAGGGTCTAGAATAAGATGACAAGCCAGTCCAGAAAGGCTTCTCTTCTTTCTCAGCTGGTGAGGGCAAGGACTGGGAACACCAGGTAACTCCAGTGCCCATTCCAGTATGGAGAGCCAGCACCAGAAGTGAACCTATGACCCTGACGGTATTCTCCCCTCCTGAGGGTACAGACTACACTTCCCATCCTCCATTTGCCCATGGGAGTAGACATAGGAGCCCGCTCTGGCTAAAGATGTATGAGAAGAATGGATACAGGTCCGTCCTGGACTCTCCTAAGACGCTGTGTGGACGCTGTGTGGAGCAGGGTTTGGGTGATGATGGCTTGGTGTCTACTGCATGGCAGTGTGGTCCTCTACCCTTCTTAGGAAGGAAGACAGCAGCTTCTTGGTTAACAAAGCCATTGGTTGGTATTCTTGCTGCTACAAAACCAAACAGTAAAGAACTCCAGATCCAGGTGGTGGGGCACACATTTAATCCCAGCACTTGGGAGGCAGAGGCAGGTGGATCTCTGTGAGTTCAAGGCCAGCCTGGTCTACAGAGCAAGTTCCAGGACAGGCTCCAAAGCTACAGAGAAACCCTGTCTCAAAAAGAGAGAGAGAAGAAAAAGAATTCTAGAGCCAAAGGAGATATCCAAGCAGAGGAGGGGGGTGGGTTCTGTAAGAACTACATACAGCACCCAAGAGCGTGGAAGCCAAGGTCAAGTATGAGGTACCAAGGGAGGAGGGAGAAGCTAGGCCGTGGAAAAGGTTCAAAGGCTCAGGAGCTGTGCAGGTTGGAAGGTGGCTACAGAAGGACCGGAGAACACCCACCTCTTTCCCCACCCGAGCCCCTTCCCCACTTGGGTGCCAACCCTCCGCCCGGGCCTGTACATTTTGCAAGCTAATCGGATACCGAACAGGGCGCTTACTGGACTGAAGCCCAGGAGAACAGGGCAAGCAGCTGGCATGGAACCGGGACGCTACAAGCTTGCTGCCATCCCTCTCGCTGCCCCTTATCCAGCCAGCGGCTATTTCAGAGCATCTACCGTGGCCCCAAGTGTTCTAGGTGCTGGGGGTGACATGGAAGGAAGCACCCCAAGTCCCATCACTAACATTGCTTACATGTTTAGCTGAACAGAGAGGACTGGTGTAGAGGAGAAAGGCAGGGAGGGATGGGAAATAGGAATTAAGTTCAAACACAGCAACGCCACTGAGAAGGCTCTGTGTCCAGGAACGACTCTACGCAGCCGCTTGTGACTTGTTTGTTTCATTTTCAAAATATTGCCATGTATGGGCTACAGTACTGCCGTGAACTTGCCAGTTACAGACGCATGCGTGCCCCTGTGTATGACCATGAGCGGCTGTTGCAGGGCTCTGGCACCACAGCCCGATAGCCAGGCTGAGGTGTCTGGGACACAGAGCTCCTCAGCCCAGTTCTTCTTCAAGCAGGGCCCAGAAGGGCCAGTGCCACTAGGGCTGGGTATTGTCAGCAACACCTCCCAGCCTGCCCAGTGCTATCTGGGCAGGGGCCTGGGTCCTGGAGATTGCAGAGTCTCCTCTGGCATCAGGAGCTTGGGGGTGGGAGGACGGGGCAGGGTGACCATGGGCTCCCTACCCTAGCCACCGCTCTAGCACGTGTTTCCCCTCCCTGCAGGCACAGAGTGGGGCGGGGTGGGGTCTGGTAGGCTTTTTCCAGGCTGATGAAGCCGGAGTGACAGGGATGGGCTGGGACCATTCCCGGACAGTTAGGAGAGATGAGACGTGACCCCGAGCCTCCACGGCTGAGAACTAAAGCCAGTGGCAGAGGTCACCGTGAGCGCCCCACCTCACATCCTGTTTGCCAAATGTGGGGCTCTAGCACGTGCTATTTTCTTGGATTTTATCCAGGGCAGCACCCCCACACCCAGACCTGTTTCTACCGGACCCTGCAGGAGGGTGGAAACGGTCAAGGGCACACCCGTGCTGGAGTTAAACCAAAGGTTTTTTTCAGATCAGGCTAGACCCCTGCCTGAGCCAATGGAAAGAGAACACATTTCCCATCAGGGGACCCGCTGTTGACAGACAGAAACCCGTGCAGGCCTTCGTGCCTGACTGGGGGAGCAGTATCACAGAGAACAGGGTGACTAACGGCCTTCCCCTTCGCAGGGATAAGCATGGCCACCTCCAGTGGCCGCAGGCACCCTCAGCCCCACACAAGACCCTGGGGAAGCCCAGCCTGGTTAGGGAGCCAGGATAGCCCCCTAGTGTGCTATACTGTGCTCCAGAAAGCTAAGGCCCAGCAAGACCAGGATCTGCCGTTCCCTGACTGAGCATCTATGACTAAGGAGCCCCGGCTGTAAACAGTGTCCCCCACCTGGGTTGCTGAAGACTGTACTAGAGAGGAGGGGCAAAGAGAACATTTCAGCCTGAACTGTCTTCCTCGCCCACTCGGCTCCCCCTCAGGATCTTCCTCACTCTTCTCCTCGGGACAGAACACCCCTGCTCCTAGGTGTTGGAAGACACTCAGTGGAGAGGCCTTGGTGGAAGCTCTGGCTGCTGTCAGCCTTATGAAGCGCTACACTCTTCACAGGAAAGCTAGAAGTTTCTGGAAAGGAGAGAGCTCAGAGCCTTTGCTTAACCACAGGAGCCAGCCACTCTCCACACCTTCATGCCGTCCATACCGAGTTCTTCCAGGCACCAAGCTCTGAGCTCCCATAACATAACTGAGACCTGAACTTGGATGGGCACCTAAGCTGGGTGTGATGGTGTATACTTAATGCCCTGGCACTTAGGAGACTGAGGCAGGAGGATCAACACCTCCAGGGCAGCCTGGCCTATACAGTCAGTCAGCCGAGCCCAGGCCAGCTTGAACTACACTGAGATTCTGTCTCAGAGCAAAGTAAGATGCATCTTGGCGCTTCGCCTTCTCAGGTGACCATGAGATTCTGACCCACATGACCAAAATGGTTCATCCAAGGTCGAGTGCCCTAGAGCCGAAGTCAAAAGCCATCGGATATTCATTGCCTCCTAAAAAAAAAAAAAAACACGGTATCTCCCTCTGACTCTTTCAAAAGGGGTCAGTTAGTTGTGCGGACCTTGTTCTGAGTTTTGGGAGTCTGTCGGGAGGGTTTCCATGATTCCTCTGCTCCCTCAACAAAAGATGTGGCTCTAGTTGACCTCAGTCCATCACCAGACAGCTATGGGACGGGGGCATGGGAGGGGGTGAAGGGTGGAAAGGGAGGACCCAGCAAGGGGTGTGGTCCCGGGTCTGATCCCAGGGTGGAGCCAGACAGCAGGGTCACCCTGTCCCTTTAAGAGAAGGGGGAGAGCTAGCCCCTCTCAGCCATCCTGTCCTGTCATCCACCCCAGCCAAATCCGAAAAGGAAAATGAAAGAGGGATCAAGAGGAACAGGTCCCAGCTGTCTCCCAAGGTCCTGCTCTCAGCTCTAAGCACAGGCCCCAGGGTAAGTAGAGTCGGGAGGGATCCAGAGGCCAAGGGTCTACGGGGACATGGTGTGTTCTGTATGTCAGGGGAGGCTTACAGGAGATGCTTGACAACTGCTTGGGGGCTGCGGGAGGCGCTGTTCCCATTCCCCTTGGCCCGAGGTAGGAGAGCGAGGAAAGGGCAGATTAACGGCGAGAAATTCCTAAAGCAGGTTTCTGTGTCAGCCTCCAACGGTGAGGAAGAAAAGAAAGGAGACAGTGGGGGCTCACCCGGCCTGGCCTTCCCCTTGCTCCCAGGAGTCTCAAAGGGAACGAGGAATTCCGGACTCCAGCAATCGCTCTGACTCCTAGAGATCATCCTGGCGCAAAGAGCCAGGCAGGGGCTGGCCCTGCCGAACAACCTAGAATCTGAGAGATCACAGGGTCTAGCCAAGCAGGCCCGGGCGGGGGTGCGGAGGAATCCCGCCTCAGCACCCCTTTAAGCCCAGGTGAAGGGATCCCATAGCTGAGGACGGACTCACCTACTATCCTCACACTCAGACTCATTGAACCCCACAACATCTCTGACCCCTGGTGCCCTCCAAGGTTTGAAATTGTGGTGGGCGTGGAGAGGTGGGGGTCAGGTCCATTCCAGCCTCTGATTACCCCCCTTCCCTTGTCCCCAGCGTCATGGGGGAGTGGGCGTTCCTAGGCTCCCTGCTGGACGCGGTGCAGCTGCAGTCGCCACTCGTGGGTCGCCTCTGGCTGGTGATCATGCTCATCTTCCGCATCCTGGTGCTGGCCACGGTGGGAGGTGCCGTGTTCGAGGACGAGCAGGAGGAGTTCGTGTGTAACACGCTACAGCCCGGCTGTCGCCAGACCTGCTACGACCGCGCCTTCCCGGTGTCCCACTACCGCTTCTGGCTCTTCCACATCCTACTGCTGTCGGCGCCGCCGGTGCTGTTCGTCATCTACTCCATGCACCAGGCCAGCAAGGAGGCGGGTGGTGCGCAGCCGGCCACGCCGTGCACGCGCGGGCGTCCCGAGGCCCCGTGCGCCCCGTGCTCCCTGCGCGCCCGCCGCGCGCGTCGCTGCTACCTGCTGAGCGTGGCTCTGCGCCTGCTCGCCGAGCTGGCCTTCCTGGGTGGCCAGGCGCTGCTCTACGGCTTCCGCGTGGCCCCGCACTACGCGTGCGCCGGCCCGCCTTGCCCGCACATCGTCGATTGCTTTGTGAGCCGGCCCACTGAGAAGACGGTCTTCGTGGTCTTCTACTTCGCCGTCGGGCTGCTCTCCGCGCTGCTCAGCGTAGCCGAGCTGGGCCACCTGCTTTGGAAGGGTCGCCAGCGCGCGAAGCTGCTCCCGCCGCCGCCACCGCCCTCTCTGCCTTCGCAGCGAGCGGATCCAGACCCCTTCGGCCCGCCGGCCTACGCGCACCGCGCACTGGCCGGCGACAGCGAGGGCGAGGGCGACAGCGGCCACAGCAAGGCTTCGCTGGCCACCGTGCGTCAGGACCTGGCCATCTAGCGGCGAGGTCCGAGGCCGAACCTTCAGTAGCACTGGGGTCCTTGGAGGCAGAAGGGAGAAGTGGCTTCTCGCTGCGTAGGACCCTGCCTGAGCTGAAGATGGGAAGAGGGGTACACCCCCACTCCCGGAGCAGAAGATGCAGGACCACCGGGGTTCGGGTCGGGGTAGCGTCGCACTTCCTAATATTGGTTGCACCAGCGTGCTAGGATTGCTTTGAATCGGGGAGGCTGTGATCCCAGCGGAAAGGGAGGATGCCAGGGACCTTGAGAGGAAGCAAACCAGGCCAAGGGCAATGAGTGATCTGATTGTTCTACCGGGGGCAAAATCAGCAACGACGGCAGCATTCCCAGGCCCCCTGCTTGGTCAGAGAAGTCCTTTTCCCAGTGGGCTCTCTGTGCACACATACACGCACACCTGGATACGCGGCGATGGGTTGGGTGCTCGTGCACATTAAACCTCCGTGGGCTGTGTGTGTGCTTGCATGTGTACACCCTCTGAGAGGTCCGTCCACACATGCATGTGCACACTTGTATACACCTCACAGGTAACAGGAGGTACAGACCTGTGTTCACGCATGCATGCACAGACATGCACATAGATGTCCTTGTGGGCTCTGTGTGCAAGCATGTGTGCATGCATCCTACGTAAGCTTTGTGTACACACCTATACACACACATTCTGTGTGTGCATCTGCTAACACTGTCATTTACTACCAGAACCCAATGCCAGTGGGAGCCATAATGGCTTTCTCCTTACTGACCTAACCCAGCCACCTGTGAGGCCATCGGTGCCCCCGTCCCTGTCCCCAACAGAGGGGGAGGAAAGTCTTGTCCAGCCGTCATCTTGTAGGTTTAAGCCGCCATCCATGCTCTGCAAGCCTCACTGGGAGTGGGCCGGAAGATACAGCAGGCAGTGTTGTTCTTTTGGCTTCCATCTCTACTCTTCCCACCCGCCATCGTCCCTATAGTCTGTAAACGTGGTTTGAGGTCCTTCCATCCTTAGGGAAAGTTGCCCCGAGACAGATTTGTTCCTGGGTCCCCATTCCCTTGCAACTAGCCTTCGTCTAGCACAGACTTTGAAAGAGTTGCCCCATGGCTACCTCATCCTTTCCTATCCTTCCTCACCTGCCTTCCTCCATCGCCCGTGTGGCCACTCTGAATACACCAGGACCAAGTGAGAAGTCCTGATAGAGCAGGGCTGCCCCTCCTCGGAACCTCAGACTCCATTAGACATGTTGCCGGGTCATACCTTTAGCCACCGCACCCCAAAATATGTCATCACCTTCCTGAGGGCTTTCTACCTTAGCCCCCGGGGGATCCCTGTCATTCGGACACAGCCAGCCCTTTCCCTCAAGCTTCCTGCATGTTGGGCTCTCTTGGTTAGGCCTCCGAGATGGCCATCTTGCCTTCTGTCACACCAGGCTGAAGTTTTGCTCACACCCACTTCGGACGCCAGTTTTAGACACATTCTTGGGTGTAGTCTCTTTCTGAAGCCCTGCCCCGAGGCTGCCTGCCTTTGCCCTTTGGGCTCACTTGAAAGAAGCAAGTGCCTCCAACAGGGGCTCTCCCTGCCCCCCCCAGCTGGAGTCAGCACCCCATGTCCCAGCCCTTCTGCTGGATGGTCACACGGACTCCTGGGCTTGGCATGTGGTCACTATTTTGGGAGAGAAAATGAAGAGTTACAGGGGCCCCCGCCGTCAGTATGCTCATGTCTGTGCTCCCAGTGGACACATCTGGCTACAGCCTAGACCCCTCCACACAAGCACAGATGTGGCTGTCCAGCTGTTTTCCAGAGAACAAGCCACTCAACAAATACTGTTCAAGGTCAGCATCTTTCAGTACAATTGTACGTGAGGCATAGTGTAATTTGTGTTTGTTTGTTTGGTTTTGGTTTTCGAGACAGGGTTTCTCTACATAGCCCAGGCTGTCCTGGAACTATGTAGATGGGGCTCCCTCAAAAATCACTAAGTCTGCCGGGCGATGGTGGCGCACGCCTTTAATCCCAGCACTCGGGAGGCAGAGGCAGGCGGATCTCTGTGAGTTCGAGACCAGCCTGGTCTACAGAGCTAGTTCCAGGACAGGCTCCAAAGCTACAGAGAAACCCTGTCTCGAAAAAAAAAAAATCACTAAGTCTGCCTGTCTCTGTTTCCTGAACGCTGGAATTAAGGGCCTGGGCCATTGCATCCAATTTGCAATGTAATTTCAAATTTTCCTGTAGCCACATTAAAAGAAAAAAAAACAGTTGAGACGGATGTAAGTGGTATTTTCTCTAACCTGCTTTACCCCAAAACATCTCCATTCCAGAACATTGTCAATATTCAGAAGTATTACAGAGATATTTCCCATTCTTTCTCAGAAATCTTGTGTGAGCTTTACACGTAAAGTACAGGCCAGGTCAAGTCAGCCCATTCCGCACACATGGCTTAGTGGCTACCACATGCAGCACTGATCCAGATGTTGGGCTGCAGCACAGATCCAGATGTTGGACTGCTGCAGGTCGGCATCTCTGCTCTCAGAGCCTGCCTTCTGGTGGGAAAGATATCACAAAAAAAGATAAGGGGAAAGTGATGTCCCTGAGGAGGTGACATCCCAGAGGCCAGTTGTGAAGCTCTTTCAAGAACAGCATGCAGGTGGCAAGTGCCACAGCCAACAAAGACACTAGAGTGACCGGAGCTGAGTGAGCAATGGCCCTGTGGTGGGGCCAACCAACTAGAAACAGTTCTGCCTTTCTTAGTCGTTCCTCTCCATTATTGGCTCCACCATGTGTGGGGGCACCTCTACCAGCTGCTGTACCCACCATCTTCAGCAGGGGGGCACCTCTACCAGCTGTTGTATCCCCATCTTCAGCAGAGGGGCACCTCTACCAGCTGCTGTATCCCCTGTCTTCAGTGGGGGGCACCTCTACCAGCTGCTGTACCCCCATCTCTGGGGAGGCACCTCTACCAGATACTGTACCCCCATCTCTGGGGAGGCACCTCTACCAGCTGCTGTACCCCCATCTTCAGCAGGGGGGACCTCTACCAGCGGCTATACACCCCATCTTCAGCAGGGGGGACCTCTACCAGCGGCTATAAACCCCATCTTCAGCAGGGGGGACCTCTACCAGCGGCTATAAACCCCATCTTCAGCAGGGGGCTGTACCACCCATCTTCAGGGGGGCACCTCTACTAGCGGCTGTATCCCCATCTTCAGTGGGGGGACACCTCTACCAGCTGCTGTACCCCCATCTTCAGCCCCCCTAGGAGTCATTGGTCACCCACACCTCTCACTTTGCTACATCATCATCACCTCCTGATCTACCCAGGGTCAGCTGGGCCTAGTGCTCCCCCACAGCCTCTGTTCAGGAGGCCCTGCTAGCTCCATCTGAAGGGCCTGTCTTGCTGGCTTAAATCTCCCTTCAGGGTCAAATCCTGCTGCTGCAGCCCCTGTCCCGGCCTCTGCAGCCTTGCTGTCTCCATATTGGCTCTCACAACCAGACCTGAGTTGCTGATAAATTCTGATCATGCCTAGCCACCTCATTATCCCCATACCTCACCAAGGTCCTGCAGGGGTGGGCAAGCGCTCACCCACAAAGATTCCCTCCCGAGTATCAATGGGGAGACACTTCTGACTGGGGTTCCTTAACCTCCTGAGTCCCTCTGCTTATGGAGGATAGACCATGGAACAGGACAGAGCTCCCCTGACCCCAGGGGACAAGGCCACAGTCCTTCAAATAGCACTATGAGCATTCAGAGAGTAGAGGCGGCTGAGGGAGTTCAGTTTGGCCAAGTGCTTGCGGAGCATGCAGGAACTGTGGGCTTGATACCCTAGTGTGGTGATAAAAGGCTGTAATCCCAGCACTTGGAGGATGGAGGCAGGAAAATGCCATCTCACCAGCCCACACACACTTTTGGGAATGTTCCGTTGGACATTCACATAGTGGAAAATCACTTTGTGGGGCTGGAGAGATGGCTCAGGAGTTTAGAATCCATCCTGTTCTTCCAGGACTCAAGTTCAGTTCCCAACACCCACGCCAGGAAACTCACAATGGCACCTAACTCCATCTCCAGGGGATCCAGTACCCTCTTCTAGCTTCTGGAGATGTCTGCACACACACACATAGACTCATCAACACATAAGGGAAATAAAAAGTCAAACTGTAAAATGTGTTTGTTGTTTGTTTGTTTGTTTGTTTGTTTGGGGACACTGGACTGACTCCTAGAGATCATCCCGGCACAAAGAGCCAGGCAGGGGCTGGCCCTGCAGAACAACCTAGAATCTGAAAGACAGGGTCTAGCCAAGGAGGCCCGGGCAGGGGTGCAGAGGAATCCCGCCTTAGCACCCCTTTACGCCCAGATGAAGGGATCCCATACCTACTAACCTCACACTCAGACATTACCTCATTGAACCCCACAACATCTCTGACCCCTGGTGCCCTCCAAGGTTAGAGATTGTGGCGGGCGCGGAGAGGCACGGTCATCCTCAGTTATATAGTGAACTTAAGGCTGTCCTGGGATACCTGAGACCCTGTCCAAAAACAGAGGGGTGGGTGTGGTGGAGTGAGCTAGGTGTGGAAACACACAACTGTGATCTCAGAATTTGGGAGGCTAATGCAAGAGAATCTCAAATTCGACGCTTGCCTGGGCCACACAACAAGACCAACAAAGACTAGAGCATAGCTGGTAACCATTGTTGAGTACTCCGGACAACTCTCACAGAAGGAAAAATACAATATACTTGCAGTTGGGCTGTCCCCCACCCAAAATGTCACTACTAGACCTAAATTACATGGAGAGACAATGTCTTAAAATTTTTAAGGCCAGATGTGGTGACGCACACACCTTTAGTCCCAGAAAAACGTGGGAGACACGGCAGGTGGAGCTCTGTGAGGAGTACTCCAGGCACAGAGGTCAAACCAGTCAAGGCTACGTAGTGAAACCCCTGTCTCAAAAAAAAAAATGTCATTAGTGCCAGAGCTTGAGAAACTGCTTCACAGCGATGAACTGAGGATCCGTGAAGACAGCTCATGCCCAGCAATTCACCACAGGGAGGATACCCTGTCAACAGCTCCTCATCAACGGATGGGCCTCTTCTAGATTGTCAGTGACTTCCTGCTGGCGCTCTGTGGACAGGAACTATGAACCTCAAGATATCTTCCT